TTGGCTCAGGTCATGATCTCAGGGTTACCCCATCGCATGGAGCCTGCTTGAGATTCTCTCCCTCTCCCTCTGTCCCTTCCCCTCCCTTGTTTCTCACCCCCTCTCAAAAAAAAAAAAAAATTCCCCTTGAGCACTGTTTCAGTCACATCCCATAAATTTTGCAGAATATCTGTCCATTTATTTAGGTCTTCTGCCATTTTTCTCAGCAATGTTTCATAGTTTTTGGTGCACAAGTCACACTTCGTCAAGTTTATTCCTAAGTCAGTTCTCTTTATGCCATTGTCAATGGAATTATCTTAACTTTATTTTCAGAATGTTGGTTGCTACTCTAGAGAAATAAAATCAATTTTTGCACATGGATCTTATATCCTATGACCTTTCTAAACTCTTTTATTAGTCTTAGTAGTTTGTGTGTGTGTGTGTAAAATCCTTGGGATTTTCTTCCTACAGGATCATGTCATCTGCAAATAAAGACTGTTTTATTTCTTCCTTTCCAATCTGGGTGCCTTTAATTATTTCTTCTCTCTTGCATTAGGTAGAACCTCCAGGACAGTGTTGGACAGAAGTGGCAAGAACGCATCCTTGCCTTGCTCGCAGTCTTAGGAGGAAAAGCATTCAGTCATACACCATTAAGTATGATGTTAGTGCCCTTTTAGCGTGATGAGGAAGGTCCTTTCTATTCCTAATTTGTTTAGGGTTTTCATCATGAATGACTGTTGGATTTTGTCAAATGCTTTTTTTTTTGTCAAATATATCTATTAAGATGATTAAGTGATTTTTTAAAAAAAGATTTTCTTTATTTATTTGACAGAGAGAGACACAGCGAGAGAGGGAACACGAGCAGGGGGAGTGGGAGAGGGAGAAGCAGGCTTCCCACTGAGCAGGGAGCCCGATGCGGGGCTCGATCCCAGGACCCTGGGACCATGACCTGAGCCAAAGGCAGATGCTTAACGACTGAGCCACCCAGGCGCCCCTAAGTGATTTTTTTTATCCTTCATTTTATTAATATGGTCTATTAATTTTCAGATCTTAACCCAGCTTTGCATTCCTGGGACAAACCCCACATGGTCATGGTGTATCAATCCTTTTTTATATATCACTGGATTCCATTTGTTAATATTAAGGATTTTTGCATCCCTGCTCCTGAGGGATATCAATCTGTAGCTCTCTTTTCCTGTGATGGTTTTGTGTGGCATAGTTATGAGAGTACTGTTGCAGAGTAAGTTGGGAGGTGTTCCTTCCTTGCTTATTTTCTGAAAGAGTTTCTTAAGGATTGATATTATTTCTTTATTACATATTTGGTAGAATTCATGTGAATTTAGTGAGCCATCTTTCCTTGTGGGAGGGTTTTTAATTACTAATGCAGTTTCTTTTTGTAGATCTACTCAGAGTGTTTATTCTTCTTGAGTCAGTTTGGTAAGTTGTCCATTTCTGCTAAGTTGTCTACTTGGTTGGCATTAAATCATTCATAATATTTGCTATTTTTCTGAGGTGAGCAGTGAGGTCTCCTCGTTCATTCTTGATTCTGGAAACTCTGTCTCCTCTCTTTTCCTCTTGGTCAGTCTGGCTAAAGGTTTGTCAATTTTGTTGATCTTTTCAAAGAACCAATTTTTGTTTTCATTGATTTTCCTTTTTCTTTTTTTTCTTTTCTGTTCTGATCTTTATTTTTTTCCCTTCCCCTGCTTGATTAATATTTAGCTTGCTCTTAAAGTTTAGGTTACTTATTGGAGACCTCTCTTTTCTGGTAGAGATGTATAAAACTATAAATTTCCCCTCGAGGGGTGTCTGGGTGGCTCGGTTGGTTAAGCGTCCAACTCTTGATTTTGGCTCAGGTCATGATCTCAGGGTTACCCCATCGCATGGAGCCTGCTTGAGATTCTCTCCCTCTCCCTCTGTCCCTTCCCCTCCCTTGTTTCTCTCCCCCTCTCAAAAAAAAAAAAAAATTCCCCTTGAGCACTGTTTCAGTCACATCCCATAAATTTTGATATATTGTGTTTTCATTTCCATTCTGTTCAAAATAGTTCCTAATTTCCTTAATGATTTCTTCTTTGGCCCATGGGTTATTTACATATGTATTGTTTAATTTCCGAATATTTGGGGGATTTCCCATATTTCCTCCCCTTGTTCTTTAACTTACCTCCATTGTGGCCTAGAATGTATTTTGTATGACTTTAATCACGTTTACTTCATCCAAACTTGTTTTTATAGCCTGGCACCTGGCCTATCCCGGACGATGTCCCAGGTGTGCTTGCGGAGAATGTGCGTCCTGCACTCTTGGGTGCAGTGTTCTTTATTGGTCGGCTGGGACAAGTTGGTGGACAGTGTTCAGAGCTGACTGATGATGTGTTGTTCGAGTCATCTGTGTCCTTGCCGCTGCTCTGGCTGGTCAAGCAGCTGCTAAGAGGGAAGGATTGAAATCTCCAGCTGGTACCGTGGAACCAGTTAGTTTCTCTTTTCGGCTCTCTTGGTTTGGCTTCATGCATTTTGGATGGAGGACGGGACAGAGTTGCGCTCAAACACCTCCAGCCAGGAAGGCTTGCATCCTGTGCCGGCGGACGTGTGTGCAGGTAGAAGGGCGAGGCCAGCGTTCAGGCTCTTTCGGGGTCTGCCCAGCTTCTACTGCTGCTGGCCCCTTGGCATCCTCCCTGGGCATGCGTGCAACCTCAGTGTGGCCACAAGCGTCTGGGTGGCTGGGGTCCTCTCCTGCCTGCCCCACGCATGCGCACGTGCACAGCCTCTCATCACCAGGGATAGGCTTGCTCCGGCCTCCGCTGTGACCACAGGCTGCTAGAGCCGTGGGCCCTCTCTGGTCAACCGCCCCAGAGATCGTCACTTCTGTCCACAATGCTGCTGTGTGGGCATAGGCGTCGCCCAGGGCTTTGTATGGAGTGAGCCGCCTGACCACGGAAACAAAGCCGCTGGTGCCCACAGCCGGCTCTGCCCGGCCGCAACCTCCGAGCCAGCCGAGCCGGTAGGAGGGGAGAGCGCAGACCCAGGCGAGCGCACCGTGGACTCCTGCTGTCCTCATCCCAAATTCAGAAGCTTTCTAAGTATAAACACTTCTCAGATGGATTTACGTCTTTGATCAATTTCCAGAGTGCGGAAGTGGTTATTTTTGTCAGTTTTGTACATCTTTTTCATTGCTTTATGGGGAGAGGATTCACTGGGCTCACTGGGCCACAGCTGGAAGCCCTGCCCGCTTATTTTTAATATAGCCGCAGTGTCACTGTCACCTCCTCAGCCCAAATAGCATTAACTTCTTAATATCATCAGGTATTTGAATAGTTAGTATTCAAATTTTCACTTGACTTTTTTTTAACAGTTTAAATTGGGATTCAAAAAGGCTGTCCTGTGTTAATTGTCTGCTATGTCTCTGAAGTCCCTTTTAATCCATGGTTCCTTTTACTTGTTCTCTCCCTCCCTCCCCCACCCCCTCCCCCACTCTCTCTTGTGTGCACTGTTCATTTACTTGTCGGAGGAACAGGCTCATTTTTCCGGTAGTGTTTTCTCCACTCCGGATTTTGCTGAGTGTGTCCCCGTGGTGTCCTTTAACATGTTCCTCTGTCCCCTGAACTTGCTCTGATGTGATGTTTGCATCTAGAGGCTGGATCCCATTCAGGTTCTGCATGTATTGCTGTCTTCCAGCCACTAGAGACTCACATCTGCTTCTCTCACTTTTTTTTTTTTTAAAGATTTTATTTATTTTATTATTTGAGAGAGAGAGAATGAGAGACAGAGAGCACGAGAGGGAAGAGGGTCAGAGGGAGAAGCAGACTCCCCACTGAGCAGGGAGCCCGATGTGGGACTCGATCCCGGGACTTCAGGATCATGACCTGAGCCGAAGGCAGTCGCTTAACCAACTGAGCCACCCAGGCGCCCGTCACTTTTTGTTATATTAGTAGCTGTTGGTGCCCAATGCCCAGATTCACAACGGACTACAAATGAGTGGTGTGCCAATGTTAGATTTTCTTCTTCACTTATTAGGTATCATATTTCTATAAAGAAAAACTGCTAATCATCTACTTTGTTATCCAATAGCATGGTAGCATTCATTAAGGAAAGTCAAGATAAATGCCTTTTTTTTTTAAGATTTATTTATTTGAGAGAGAGAAAGAGAGCAAGCAGCAGGGAAAGGCAGAGGGAGAGGGAGAGACAGTCTTAAGCAGACTGTGCTAAGCGTGGAACCTGATGCAGGGCTCGATCTCACAACCCTGAGGTCACAACCTGAGCTGAAACCAAGAGTTAGATGCTTAACTGATTACACCACCCAGGCGCCCCTGCCTGGTTTCTTTTACTTTATTTACCAATTTCCAAGATAATGAATTTGTTCTCTGTACCCCTTAACAGTGATCAGTCGGTGTTGGTGGTTTGGGTGCCATTGTGAACTGACATATATTTGCTCAGTTTTCTCGTCATGGGCCAGTGGAAGCCACTGGGGTTTGGCGGCTGAGTCCTGACAGTGTGGGTGCCAGGAGGGCTCATGGCTGCTGGGCAGGCCCTTGCTTCTAGGCCTTGTCGTTGGATGCTTGTGTTTTAGGAAATGCTATGTTTCTGTGATATGCAGGATATTCAGCTATGTGAACGCTCTCGGAAATAGCAGGTTTGTCCTTGGAAATACTTGGCCAAGACTGAGCTGCTACTGCTCTATAGGAATCCTCTATTATATAAGCTGATTTGCAGTGGTCTCTACCTCGTGGTGGAGCTGTGTTCTTAATCTCCACAGGTCTCATTAGAGAAGGAGCACCCTTCCAGATGTGTTTTCCTTGTGCCCGAGCAAAGTTCGCACTTCTCACCCTAAACAGACAACCCCCCAGACACCTTGGAACCTTTTTTTGATGTTGAGAAGGTGCTTACTCAGCTCAGACTGCCTTTCATTCTTGATGTTTTAAGTATCATATTTTATTATTAATTCTGGCCAATATTCTGCATTCTTCTATGTGTTTCTCATCATTTTCTTGTGATTTTGAACGTCTGTGAAGTACAAGAGGCCCTTGTCTATACCCTCTCTTCCTAGAAGGCCCTCAGAGATCTATCAGCTCCTGCTGACATGAGCAGGGTCCTTTGGGGAGTATATTTGCATTTCTTGTCAGTTATACTCAGGGCCATTCCCTGGAGACCAGAGAGCTCTCCTTACCAGCAACTCTGCTTTCGGGCTTCGGAGCTTTTCTTCATTAACCAGGTGACCCTTGCCTCAAAGAGGCATCTGTACACCATGTTCATAGCATTATTATTCTATAATAATTTTTCATAACTGTGGAAGCAACCCCAGTGTCCATCAGTAGATGGATGGATAAGCAAATTATGGTATAGCCATTCAACAGAATATTATTCAGTCTTTAAAAAGAAGGAAATTTTAACACATGCTGTAACACAGATGACTCTTGAGGACGTTATGCTGAGTGAAATAAGGCAGACACAAAAAGACAAATATTGTGTGATCCCACTTGCAGGAGGTACTTAGAATATTCGAAATCCTAGAGCTGGGGCAGTCAGAATTATAATAAATGGTTCCATTATGAGAGAGAGTTAACAGATGATAAGGTAGTTCTTGAGATCTCTGGCTTAAGAATGTACAAGGCAGCATGTCGACACATCATGTGGCAGGCTTTCAGTGGGGCTTTACCCTTAATCTGTGTCACAGGGGCAGCAGAATCAGCAACAAAATGCTCCAGGCTCTGGAGTCAGACTGTCTGGGTTTGAATCCCAGCTCCCATAAACCTGTGTGACCTTGGGCAAGTTACTTTGCCACTTGTGCCTCAGTTTCCTCTCCTGAAAAATGGGCATGATATCTACCTGTCTGTAGGGTTTATGAGGATGAAATACGTGAATACAGGATGGTACCTAGTGGACATTACATAAATGTGGACTGTTATAATTTGATAATAATTATGGTTAGCCTTTAGTGTCCATCATCATCATTATTGTCAGGGCCCGGTCAGTTGGGGGAACCAAGGGTGGATGGTTTCCCATGCAGCTCTCCGGCCTTCTCGAGAATCGTCAGCCACAGATGGTCTCCTTCTCCAGGCCTCCGCTGTCCTTGGCCTGTTTACCCCATCCCACCAGGATTCCCACATGGGACAAGCTGACTTGGTCTTGCCAACACCCTTATTTTGACCTGGCCCAGGCTAGGACTTCCTGAAACATGATTTCCTGATGGTGTCAGGCCATGCTGTTTCCTGTAGGATTCCCTACCTCAGGAGAAAGAAACTCTGATGAAACGACTTATGACGGCCAGTGACCGCCAGGACCTTTACAAACACTGTCCAGGGAATCCTCTGAATTGCTGTGCTTTGCAGATGGAGGCACTGGTGCTCGGTGTGAGCAGGGACGCATCGCAGTCCCTGAACCAGTGTGTGGAGACCCCGCTACTCTGTGTTCCAATTCTGCGCCTCACACGGTTCCTGTCTCCTTCCTTTTGCTTCTTGGCCTCAGGAAAGTCTGACCTCCTCTGGATTAGTCTCTCAGGCCTTCTTTCCTTCCCAGTATATCCTGGCTCTCCCTGCTTTGCCTTCACACTTGGCAAGTTCCTCTGCTGGCTACAAAGGCGGGCTCTGCTTTCATGTTACATTGAGCTCCTTCCCTGTGTTTCCACACAAGCACCAAAGCCCCGTTCCTTAGGCTTTCCTGGGGCCAGAAACCCAGGCGAAAATGGTAACTGATGGCCTATTGGAAGAGAGGCGGGAAGGGCCTTCCAGGTAGGGCAGGGGGTGGGAGGGAGGACAGTGTGCACAGAGGCGAGGTAGAAGGGGCCTTCCAGGCAGGGCAGGGGGTGGGAGGGAGGACAGTGTGCAGAGGTGAGGTGGGAGGGAGGATAGTATGGCAGCGGTCTAAGAGCCTGGCGCTCAGTGAGGAGCGATGTGGCCGCATCCTCGAGGGAATGAATCTTGATCCTTCCATGTGGGAGTGGCAGGGATGGGGCTAATAAGGGGAGAGATCTGGTCAGGAGTGGATTTCCAAAAGACAGCTTGGGAAGTGGCATAGGACTTCCTGAAAAGCAGTTAAGTTACTGATTTGAGTCAAGTTACCGATTTGGCTGATTTTTCTAAATCTGCGATGTCACTAGCATTACCCCTTGTCATTGATAAGTGCTTATTTTTAAAACAAATGTCATCTGCATATTTCTGCAGACGGGACCTTCTTAGCCATCGGCTCCCATGACAACTGCATCTACATCTATGGAGTCAGCGACAACGGGAGGAAGTACACGCGTGTCGGCAAGTGCTCGGTAGGTGCTCTTCTCATCTTCTCGGGATGTGTGTGGTCACCCCATGTCCCTCGTACCGGGAATTTACGAGGCGCGTGAAACGCACCCTGCTCTTCTCTCCCAGGGTCATTCCAGCTTCATTACTCACCTGGACTGGTCTGTGAACTCCCAATTCCTCGTGTCAAATTCTGGAGACTATGAAATCCTTTACTGTGAGTAGCACCCCAGGGCTTGTCTGGGTTCGGATCACATAGAACGTTCACTCTGAGATCAAAATGGGGTCTCCTGCAAACCCCACTTCCCCTACTGCCTCGGCACATGCTGTCACCTCCAGGCCTCGGTTTCCTTTTCTATAAAACAGGGGAGTTGGGCAGGGCTACCTCTAAGATCCTTCCCGCCACTGAGATCCTTGGGGGCTCAGGCTGACATGGGCCCCTGCGGAGCAGAAGATACAAGAAGATACAAGAAGACTCCAAGTCCAAGGGACTCGTAGAAGGAAAATGCCAAATCCTGGAGGGAAAGGCCCAAGGGGGGCAATTGGGGCAGGAGAGAGTGGGGACCCTTGTGAAGGCGTCATCCCAAGCAGGCAGACACAGTGAAGTCTCTCCTGCCTGGGGGGACAGCAGCCCCTGGGACCCCTCCTGGCGGTGTCTGTGTCCAGGCAGGACCTGAGAACACTGAGGGTAATAAGACCAGTACTTCCTGAGCACGGGCTCCTCACACATGTGCCAAGCACCTGCCGTGTGCCCAGCTCTGGGCTAAGCACAGGGGATTGTGGGGCATGAGGAGGGCCTGGCGTCCGCCTGCTGGACGGTACTAAGTGCAATACTAAAAAGTACCAGAAAGTTTACATACATTTTCTGTCATTATCCATAGCTCTTCCAGGCTTATCCCATTTTATAGACAGGAAATCTGGGCTCAGAAACGAGGCCGTAGGCATCAAGAGCCAGTGGGTAGGTAGGGAGGCAGCCATCCACTTGCTGAGAAGCCTGGACAGGTAGAGCTACTGGAGGTGGAGGAAAGAGGGAAATAGCATGTGCCAGGTGGCACCTGCTCTTCCCTCTCCGCCCTCTCCAAGGCCCTGCCTGACACAGGGCAGAAGAAGGGGGATGGATTTCAGAAACAGGCCATGGGTCTAAAATCTTCTCAGACACAGTTTCATACTCTGTGAGTGAGAGCTCGTTTGGGGAGCAATCAAATCACCTGGATATGACTGGTTTCTGTAAGCTTCCACTCCCAACTCAGGACTGAAGGGGGCGGGGCGGGGAGGGGGGAGGACGGCTTCGGAGCCTGACATGAACAGTTCAGGTGGCAGAGCTGAGCTGTTCCAGGGTTCTGTGGGCGGGCAGGGGAGGGAGACACTGAGCATTTGAAGGCAAGGTACCCATGGATGGTCAAAGGAAAGAGAAGCCAGACTGCAGGAAACAGACCCAAAGAGGGAGATAGATGGGAGGCGGTGCCCATGGAGGCCCCGGGGCTCAGGCACAGTTGCAGCCGCGAGCCTGGCTCCCACGGGGCTGGGAAGTGGATAGGGTCTCACTCCACAGGGCTCTGTCGCTGGCGGGGCAGGGCTGTAAGGGCCAGCCTTGTCAGGAGAGGAGAGGGGCCTTCGGCTTAGATGTCACCAGACTTGGATTTGCTTTTTCCAGGGGTTCCCTCTGCTTGTAAGCAAGTCGTAAGTGTGGAAACTACGAGAGACATTGAATGGGCTACGTACACCTGCACTTTGGGGTTCCATGTCTTTGGTAAGTTTTCTGCAGCTTTCATTCAGTTCACACATAACATGTATCCACTTTTAGAATATTTCTCTAATAGTTATGAACTCTCATGGTCACTGGTTTTGTCCAGCTGCTCTGCTGCCACATGAACCCAAAAAGGACATGCTCCCTGCAGCTCCCAGGGGAAGGGCCAGGCAAGAACCAGAGAGATGGGTTTAACCCTTTTCTATTGTATGAAATAAGTCCTGAGATAATGCTCTAGAATCTTCTCCTATGAGGTTGTGCCAAACTTCTTAGAGAGATGGGCCAGATGGCACTCAATCTATTTCTTTATCATTTATTAGAGTTATTATATTTTTTTGGTTCTTTAACTAAATTTTTCACTTCCTTTAAAGTTGAGGTTGGAATATATTTATAAATGGTGTAAGATAAATTACCACAGTTTAGTAGAATAAAAAAGAAAAGACAGTACCTCTAATCTCTTTGTGTAAGACCGTAAGTCAATAAGGTGGTCAAAATTTCCGAAATCTCTTTAGAGCTGGCATTTATCATTTTCTGGTATAAATGCTAGGAACTCCTGGGTTCACTCTAGATCTGCCAGTTGAGAAACTGATGTACATTCAGCTGTCTCAGATCCAAAGTTATTGGGACCAAAAGGTTTCCCAAAGCACTGATCAGGAGACACTGCCCACCCAACCAGACTCCAGATCCATGGCAGGCGGACACCACACCTGCCGGATAGACCAGGCAAGCAGCAGCCACAAAGAGCCGACACCAAGAAACACCTGAGCGGCGTCTGGGTGGCTAATTCCGCTGAGCATCTGACTCTTGGTTTTGGCTCAAGTCAGGATCTCAGGGTCGTGGGATCCAGCCCCAGGTCAGGCTCCACGCTCAGCGCAGAGTCTGCTCATCCCTCTCCCTCTGCTCCTCTCCTCGCTACTCTCTCTCTCATAAATAAATAAAATCTTAAAAACAAAACAAAACCCTGAAAGGCACACACAGGGTTAAACAGTCCTTTGGAGAGACTCACATACAGAGTTACCCCAGAAAAACCAAAAAGTTAGGAAACTGTAGGTTGGGGACTAGTCAGCTTCCCCTCAGATGCTTTCGGGGAATAAAGGAAAGGCACTGTGTCCAAAGCCACGGTTTCTGGCACTCTCTCTGTTGTCGAGTCAAGAAGGAAGGGGCCCCCGAAAGTCATGGGAGCCCAGAGAGCCTGCCGCCGGAGCTCTCCCCTCGGGCGGGACGGGTGATCTGGGAATTGCCCCGGCGGAGACGATCGCAGGCAGGCTGGGAGCTCTTTGGGCCCCGGCTTCGAAAGCCAGGGACTGCGGGCGATCTGATCTCCATGGCAGCTCAGTGGCGGTCCCTGTGCAGCGTGGCGTAGTGTCTCTGGGATTTCAGGGCTCTGTCTGTGGTCTTCATTTTAGGAGTGTGGCCGGAAGGCTCGGACGGAACCGACATCAATGCCGTGTGTCGGGCGCATGAGAGAAAGCTGCTGTCTACCGGCGACGACTTCGGCAAAGTGCACCTGTTCTCTTACCCTTGCTCACAGTTCAGGGTACGTCTTCCTCACGGACCCTGTCCTCGGGGCGCATGCGCCGCGGCCTCCCCTGGCGGTCTGGTGACTGACTAGGTAGGCTGTGTGCGTGAACCGGCCAGTCACGCCTGCCGACTTGAGCCCGCGGTCCCGCTGCCCTGGAGCTCTTCCGGCCTCCGCGCTGCTCTCCGGGGAGCACCCGCAGCCCCAGACCCTTTCGAGCTGGCTTGTCTACCTCCGCGGCTTCCTTTGTGGGCCTCACGCCTCTTCCCCCACCTGCTGAGCTGAGCCAACACCAGTGCCTAGAACACCCTTCCCCGTCCTTCCCAGACCTGAAGCCCTTCGGCCTTGCCCCTCAACCCGTGGCACCTGGTAGATCCCTCCTTTGGGTGGCCCCACGCGTGGAACAGCGCTCTGGCACTGAACGTGTCCCAGCCCGGGGCAGCGCCCTGCCTGTGTCTGCCCCCCGCCCCAGGCCAGATTCTCGGGGCACGGGGAGGGCCTCTGTGTCGTTTGTTTGAACGCCCCTCCTGTGCCTGTGCACAAAGCAGGTGCGCAGGTGAGAGCTGCTGAGTGAGGGAAGCACGAGCGTTAGAATTCCAGCACTTTCGACTCCACGTAGCGCGCTCCGCATTAAGCTCTTTCTTTCTCTGTCCTTCTTCCCCAGGCTCCGAGCCACGTATACAGTGGGCACAGCAGCCACGTCACCAACGTCGATTTCCTCTGTGGCGATAGCCACCTCATCTCCACGGGCGGCAAGGACACGAGCATCATGCAGTGGCGGGTCATTTAGTCCCAGCAGGAAGCGTGGGGAGCAGAACAGGGGCAGGCACCGACTCGTGCTAGGCTCCACCACTGTGATTTCTGTTCTGTTTGAGAAGTTCTGACAAACCTCAGGAAAACCACTCCCTCTACCAGTTACCTTAGCTTAGCGAATCAGTGAGCGTCACACCGGAGCAGTGGTTCACGGTTCTCCTTTGTTGTACAGTATATAAAACAGTGCACATTTGATATTAAAAAAAATATATATGCCAGGGTTTACATTATGGTGACATCAACAGAAGTGACTGGTATATCCTTCGTAACTTTTCTACGAACCCTTCAAAAATGGTCACAGAATGCCTTTTAAAATATTGTACATAGGCTTTACTATTTCCCCATCTAGCTCGCTAAGGCAAATATTTATGATGATAATGAGGTACTGAATTGTGATCGCTATTGATTAATTGGTCCTAAAAGGATAAATCGATGGAGAAGAGCGTGGAGGACTGATTTGCTCAGGTGAATCAGGAAATGCAAATGTGACTTTATTTGGTTTCATTCTCTAAGGGTTCATTCAGTCCTCCTGGAGGGAGGCTGACGAGAAAGGGGTTGTATTCTTCTTGTGTTAAGCAGATTGTACTCCAGATTAATTTAAACATTTCAGCAGGGTACGCAGGCACCGTAGAGTTTCAGTGATACTGTCTGCCTAACCCAGGGCAGGCAGCCGCTTCACTCCCTTCTGTCCCACGCTCACGTGCCCGGAAGAGTGGTGGAGACATCTAGCCACCTTCTTCTGTATATGAGTTGGCATGATCTGGTATTGTATAGGATTGTAGAAATTCATCATAAAGATGTAAGGCTAGGCTTTACTATTTTATGCTTATGGACATTGTATATTTGTATTTTAAGACCAAGTAGACCAAGTCGAAATGGTATCTCTTAAGTGTACAATAAACCTGTGGCGGGGAGAAGTCTGGGAGGCTCCACCGGGTACTAAGGGCAGCTTCTTTTCCTGTCTTTTGTGCATGGATGGCTCACTACACTACAAAATAAGATTGCGTTCTGATGAGTAAAACGGAGATGGCATACATTTGTGAAGAAGGCCTTATCCATTTTGATTGTGTGACAGATTGAAATTTATTGTTTACATTGGGGAATGTATCTCAGATTTTAAAATAGAAGAGTAATAAACAGACTTAAAAACAAACACTAAGATTTCTACTTGTTCTGGGCAAGTAAATGAATGGAATTATGTGAACTCCATGGCGCTGGTTGTTTAGAGTGGCCGATTAAGCACAACTTTTGGAAGCATGTTTATTCCATCGCCAGCCTGCTGAGCAAGTTGTGGGACACCAGTAGGCACGTGTATCAAAGATGAATCTGTTTGTATGTATCCTTATCAAATATATTCTATAATGAAATTAAATCTGAAAAGGATTTCTTATTGACCTATAATCATGAAAATATATAAATTAAAATATTTAAAATTAGATATGATTCACACTATATTCTGTTTCATAGACATATTTTTTGTTTTCACCTGGGTCATTTGCAAATGGAACTCTAGCTTGCATGGTGTGTAAGGATTCGTCAGATTCGAAGCCTATAAGACTTCAGCTTAGGGCGCCTGAGTGGCGTAGTCAGATGGGCGTCCGGCTCCTGGCTTCAGCTTGGGTCATGGTCTTGGGGTCATGGGATCGTGCCCCACGTTGGGCTCCGCATGTGCTCAGTGCAGAGTCTGTTTGGGATTCTCTCTCCCTCTCCCTCTGCCTCTCCTGCTAATTCTCTCTCTCTCTCTCTTTCTCTCTCTAAAATAAATAAATCTTAAAAAAAAAAAAAAGAATTCAGCTGAGGGGTGCCTGGCTGGCTCACTCGGAGGAGCATGCAGCCCTTGATCTCAGGGCTGTAAGTTTGAACTCCATGTTGTGGGTAGAGATTCTAAAAAAAAAATTGAAAACTTAAAATTAATTTTCAGTTTAATTACCATACCTAGTTATTTTACTTGGTTAAATACTGGCAAAAACAATTATTTTTACATTAATAATTAAGGGAATCACCAGCTCAAGGAAGGGGAAAGGGACCCATTATTGATCTTATAAGATCTACTTTTATTCCTATATAATCCCACTCTTCTCCAGGCTCATAATGGAAAAAGGATGTTTATATAAACTATTACTGTTACCTTCGTATTTGTCTATTTTTTATTTTTATTTGTTTGTTTGATGGGGGAGATGGCAGAGGGAACGGGAGAGAGAGAATCTCAAGCAGCCTCCACACCCAGCCCAGAGCCCGTCGTGGGGCTCAATCTCACGACTCTGAGATCAGGACCTTCCAAGATCCAAGACTCTGCTGGGACAAGAGGCTTGGAAGCAGGGGCAGCTGCCAGGCCTCTTCCTCCCAGTGGCCCGAGGCCCTGTCAGCTTAGCTGGGCTGTGAAGAGTGACAGCTGAGGGGCCGTTGCATTAATCTCCGTGAGGTGCTGACAGTGTAGACCAGGCTGCAAGCGGTGGATGCGGAGAAGCAAAGGGATGGTCCGAGGGAGGTTTAGACGGGGAACGCCAGCAGATGAGGGATCGCCTGTGGGCAGTGGGTGAGGCTCGGGCCCCTGACCGTTCTCTGGTCCGATGGCCGTGCCGTTGGCCAAGGTGCAGAGCACTGCAAGTTTGAAGGCGGATGATGCCTGGGACAGAATGAAGTGAGGTGAGGGGCCTCCGTGACATCCAAGTGCAAGTGCAAAAGTAGGCATTTGGCTAGCAGGCTCAGAACAAAAACCCAGCAGCAGGTGCCACTGCAGGGCTCTCCACAGAAGAGCACCATGTCTGGCACCGGGTTGTGGCCGAGATCGCGGGGAGCTGGTCCAGCCGGGGAAGAGAGGGCCTCCGCCCCAGCCGGGGGCACTCAGAAACCCGGGGCAGCCAGAGGAACACCAGCTCGGCAAGGAGAGGGTTCACTCAAGAGCCCACCCAGGCATCTTCCCCACCCCCCAACTTTTTTTTTCTTCCAGAGAGAATGCAGTGGGGGGGGGGAGGTGTAGACGGAGAGGGAGAGAGAATCTCAAGCAGACTCCACACCCAGGGCGAAGCCTGACTCGGGGCTCGAGCCCACGACCCCGAGATCATGACCCAAGCTGAAATCAAGAGTCAGATGCTCAACCTACGGAGCCATCCAGGCGCCCCTAACCCCCCAACTTTTTTGAATGACTACTTGCACTGCCCAAAAGTTACACATTGCACCCATTAATCATTTTTTCTGTGATCTGGGAACAGACTACCATCATGTGATTTCTGAGGCTTCTAGAAGAGCACATAGAAGAAACAACGTTTGAGCCCCTCCGGCCTCCTCAAGGGAGGGCCATCTAACGGCACAACTGGGGAGGCAGCTGTTTGGTGAAAGCGAACAAGAGACGTACTTACTGTGAGATAGAAACTGATTCACTATGGTTTTGCTTTTTTTTTTTTTTTAACTTTATGGGAGATTTCGAACATACACAAAAGTAGAGCCTCTTACCGAGCTTCAAAACTTATGGACATTCAGAGAATCTTGTTTCCTCTGTCTCCCCTAATTTGGGAGACAACAGTTTACTTCATGTAACCACCATAACAAAATCGCAGCTGACCAACTGAACAGTGATTCCTTATGGTCTGAGCCATGTCTCCATGCCAAGCACCACATGAGGATGCCACACAACCATGCAAAGCACGGGATGCACAGTCCACCTGGAAGCCTAGCTCAGGAGGCTCAGCACACGTGTGCACCTGAGCGCAGGACCCTTCTCCAGAACCCACTCTGACCCCCAGCTCACTGCCCCTTTGCACCCTGCCCCTCCCCACACCCTGCCCCTGGCCCACTGGGGAAGCCCCCCTTCTGGATCACCCAGCCTGGATCCTTCCCACCTTGGCTGCCAGGTGAGATGGAGACCAGAGGCAGGGAGCAGGAGCTCCAGCCCCTCCCAGAGGGTCCCAGCTGTTCCAATTCGACTCCTCCACTCCTGTGCGTGGGTCTCAGTAAGAATGGGGCACAAACTCCTACCACCCCGAGGGGCGGAACCTGGGAGGGCTGCCGGGCGGCATACATACTTTCTTGCTATCTTTGGTTACAAGAGCACCCTGCCCTCAGGAAGCCTAAGGGAGGGGTGAGGTTGGGGGCTCGTGAACACAGATTTTGCCTGAGCTCAGAATGTGGATGAGTTAGCAACAAATTTGGTCATTTGGACTTACAGCAAAGCAGCTGTCGTAGCACCTGTGAGATGAAGACTCAGAAGGTAAGCCTCAACACTAGCTTTAAACCTAACCTCCCCCCCACCTCCGCCCCCGCCCGGGGCTCCGCTGGCTGCAGGTGCGCCACCTTGTGGCAGAAAACAGAGCCGGCTTCTCTTGCTTGCGCTCCAATAACCAACCGGGTTCTGACCTCTGTGAACTGGGAGAGTGAGGCCAGAGCAAGGAAAATGCTTCTGTGACTCCGACGGACTTCCACTCACTGGATGGGGCAGATGTTTCAAGCGACCCTCCTCAGGGGGCTTTCGGAGGTTCTTGGGGAGCCCCAACATTGCAGATGGTCTCACCTTCAGTCCCCTTCTACTGGATAAGGATATTCTATGACGTTCCGCCCGCCCCGGCAGCCCCTGAGCGCAGCAGGGTCGATCCCCAGTCATATTTCGGTAGCAGTCTCCCCGCCCTCCAGGAGGCCCTGTGGACAGGATCCCAGATGACCCCCCCACACACACTCCAGGCTTTCTACCGCGTTCAGATGAAACCTCTGTGCCCCGCCCCCCCACCAGTGGAGGGAGGCTCCTTCCTCCCCCACACAGCCTTCTCCGGACGTGTGGCTGAGAAACACCCCCTGCCTTTACATTTTCAGCCAGACATCAACCCACCAATCGCAGGGGACACACGCCGAGCTCTCCAGAGGCTTGGGGTGAGAGAGGAGCAACCCCACCCCTCCCTCTTGGGAGAAAGGGGGCTGGAATCAACAGCTCAACTTTGCCCCAAAGAAATCCCCCTTACAAATACTTTTTTTAAAATTCTACTTCCTGACACTTTTTTATACCCATACCATGGATGAGGGAGGCTAAGAGGTCTCTTGGGATCGTCCTTGGTAAATTCTGCCCCTGGTCCAGCAGCACCTCTGGACGGTCACGCCCATTGGATCTTGGCTCCTGGACTGAAATGTCAGTTCAGCATCTGGTGACACAAACTGCCGCCGTCAGGATTCTTGCAGTTTCTTTGTGCATCTGAGCAGGAGTTTGGCATTGCTGCCTGGGAGGGGGACCACTGGTTTTCGAGGACACGCACCTGCTCCGCTTCTCAGATTCTGCCCAGTCTCTACCCTGGGCTGTGGCACCAGCGGAGTTCCTGCTACCTGGCCAAAAGGCATCTTGCACAGCAGCTCTGAGAGGTAGGATCACTCGCCCCCCCCCCTCGACGATGAAGAGACAGAGTGTTAGAAAGATAGAGGTGCTTGCCCCAGGCTGCTGAGCCAAGGGTGAAACTCCCAGGTCTCCTGAGCCGTGTTCCACGCCAGAGCCAACATTCTCAGACTGACTCTGTGCAGAGCGCTGTTGGAGAAGTTGCTCATGCAGGGTCTCCGAATGACTTTAGAAATGCCCCATACTATATATGGTGTGTCGTGGGTAGAGACTCGAGCGCAGGTTGCCTCTTTAACACATTGGAAATTCTATAATAAAGGAGCCTGTTTACACTGACATTTCCCATACTCGAGCACTGGGCACTTTCGCTCCCACGATGCTGATTATTGGCCAGGATCAATGTTCCATGGCATACCATCTTGGGAAACACTGTGGGAGAAGGTTAGTCATGCAGAAGCTTAATATAACAGAGAAGTGAAAGGGAACCCAGATGCCAAACAATTCTCCACTTCCTCCTCGCCGCCCCCCTCCCCGTTCCTGCTAGGAAGGGCTTCGAGGCCAGATTGGCGACAAGGCGCAGGGGAGCTTTTCTGTTATTCTGGAGTTCCTGGACAGTTTCTCTCAGCTCTGTGCACCTCCCTCTAGAGCACTCAGCCTCCCTGATGTATAATATCATCTGCTGGAGACTGTCAGGGTCCAAAGAAGAACATCTGGGGGCACTGGAACAAGCCCCCCGGACAAGGGAGGATCTTGCTCCTTTTTTTTTTTAAAGATTTTATCTATTTATTTATCAGAGAGAGAGCGCACAAGCAGGGAGAGCAGCAGGCAGAGGGAGAAGCAGGCTCTCCGCGGAGCAGAGAGCCGGATGTGGGACTCGATCCCAGGACCGTGGGATCATGACCTGAGCTGAAGATAGACACTTAACCGACTGAGCCACCCAGGCATCCCTTTATTTTTATTTATTTGACAGAGAGAGAGTGCACACCAGCAGAGGGAGAAGCAGGGTCCCCGAGGAGCAGGGAGCCCAATGTGGGGCTCGATCCCAGGAGGGGTCAGGGGTGATGGAGGCTACTTGAGCCTGAGCACTCAGTAAAGTGGCCTTTGAACAGAGATTTAAGTGGTAGAGTGAGGACCCAAGCCTTGTGGCCATCTGGGGGAGGCTTTCTGCAAGGCAAAGTCCCTGGGAGCACACATGGGGAAGAAACACT